GCAGGATCGCCATGTTATCGTACATAATATTATTTACTATTGCTATTGATATATTTTTTTGTGATTAACAAACTTTTTTTGTTTTCAGATTTGTCAYGGTATGGGGTATGTGATTAATTYTGTCGCTTATGTATTGTTAAAATCTGTGGGTTTTATGTATATGTGTTTCTTAATGAATTCTAAATCCKYYTGTTTAGGTATTTATTTGGAGTCCTTATTTATCTAGACAATTTTATCCGGTTAGCGTTGATGTACACAACTTATGGTATATGGGTGCAAGTTATTTTTTTTTGTCTAAATTTATCTATTTTAAATGTTTAGTATTTGTGTGATCTTTAATATTTTACTGGTTTTCCATTTCGAATTTTTTAAGGATACTTTCGTGATAATTGGTTCCAGTTTCGATGTTCTTTACGTGGAAGGTACGCAAAATTATGAATAGGATTTCTATAGTGTTATCATTCTTAATTTTCATTTGTTTCTTTATAAGTTTCCCTTCATCTTTTGTTTTCGATTTCGCATTGAGTTCTTGACGATTATTTAATCATTTTTTATCTTTATAAATCGGTGAGTTTATTTTATCTTTTTTTTGTTATATATTTATTTTAAATTTTCAACTAATATAATTAAATTTATTTTTGTTTTACTATAGATTTTTTCTTGACTTAATTCGTCATACCAATGGTTAGTCGAAAGCAATTTTAATCATTGTTATTCATCATGAAGTGCGAAATCCTACGTGGCGCCCTCAGAATGAATTTGAGGGTGGTTGATTACAAGGATACCCTCTTCTAAAAAATAAAAATACATGTTATGCCATTATTAATACGGTTTCGGTTATATTAATCGCATTATCAATACGAGTTCGGTTACGTTGATTCGGTTTAAGTTATTCTCGGTTTAAGTTATGCATAAGCCCAATATGTTAATTCGTTCATAAGCCCAATTCAAAAGGTTCGGTTATTGCCATCGTTAACTTATATATGTTAAATATTCGGTCAACTTAATGATGAAGATATATGAATCTTATTGTAAATCTTTCGTTAATATCTAATTATATATTTATGTCAAAATTATATATTTACTTAATTCCAACTGCAAAACCCTAGGTC